AATAGAATCATTAGTAATGAGTAGAAAGAGAAAAGAGAAAGGAGGACAGTAGATAGCAATCGACATTGCATTTAAATTTTTGCCGCTTAAAGTTAGCTGGAAAGCATGGAGCTGGAAAGGAGTTCCACAAACAAGAAGTGTGAGAAAAGAAACTGTCAGCATGTTATGACTACATCTAGTTAGCCCAACCATAAATTGATGAGATCTTGCCACCAGTCTAGTACTGCACTAAAATTCATTCAGTCAAGGTATCATAGCAAAGAGCTCATCTAAACAATTACCATGGAAGTATTTCTAAAAAAACAAAGACACAGAAAGGCAACCTGATGGTGATGGGAAAGTGACAGAAACCAAGCCGCCAGATCAGACCAATAATATTGCTGAATCTTCTTTGATCTTATCAAGGAGCTCCAGGTAAATAGCAAGGACATCGGACCATATATATCAACAATATTCTAAGCATGGATAAATATGAATGGTAGACTTATGCAAGATAGATTCCAGAGAGAAAAATTGTCTCACCCAGCACAGTGAACCAACTTTCATAGCAGCTGACTTAGCATTGGATTCAGTATAGTCTTTCCACTTCATGTCAGCTGAGAACATTAGCCTGAAAAAACACAACAAGTCACTTTCCTGGAGGATAGCATCAGCCATACAGATGGAAGGCAGAGAGGAGTCTCTCAGATGATTGATGGAGAGAAGTTTAGTATTGGAGGTATTAAAATTGACAAACCATCTTTTGCCCCAGTTAACGATGGTCTTGAGGTTGTTTTGGAAATCAGCTGCCATTTTGATCTTGTCGGACTGATCAGCTTTACTATCAAGGCTGAAGTATCTGATAGTTTTGTCAGTGTAAATGCCAAGTTGAGAGGTGATGTTATCCAGAATGTCATTAATGAAGATTAAAGACAGCGCAGGACCAAGGATAGAGCCCTGTGGGTCATCTGCATTAGTACAAAAGGATGTAGATGAGTTGCCATGCAGGAAAACTTTCATTTCATATTTAGATAGGAACCACTGGATCAGCTCCAAAATGTGTCTGGAGATACTGTAACTTTTCAGCTTGTGGAGAAGGCTTGAATGTCAGATCCTGTCAAAAGCCTTTCAGATGTCCAATGCTACAGCCCAGGCTTCACAATTTTTATCTAGAGCATGATAGACTCTTTCTGCAATTATCATTAGTACATCAGCAGTTGACCGAGAGAAATGAAAGCCATATTGCTTGTCAGAGAAAAGGACCTGCAATGAAAGTTGATGAACTAATTCAGCATTAGGGCCTCTAGGAGTTTCCCTAAAAGTGGTAGAAGGCTAATAGGCCAATAGTTGAATGGGTTGAACAGTTCACCAGAGTTCTTAAAATATGGAACAACAGATGATGACTTCCAGCAGACAGGAAAGCAGGAGGCAGCAAGGCATTTATTATACAGTTTAGAGAGAACAGGAGCCAGTTCAGGAGCTCACTTCTTAATGACTAATACAGGGATACCTCGGGTCCACATGCTTTTTGGCAATTCAGGTTAGAGATAACAGCAGAAACCATGAAAGGGATGAAATACATATCACTCAACAGAGAATCAGTACTAAGTGGTAAATTAGGCAGGGAAACACCAAATGTTTCAAGAGTAGAGTTTGAGGAGAATTTATGGGCAAAGCATTCAGTTTTGTCAGCAGTGGGTGATAACACCTCAAATCAATTGAAGAAGTGGAGAATAAAAACCTTGTATTTATTTAATACCGTATTACAGAGACACCAGTAATCATGGGAGTCAAACCTTTTAGAGTCTCTGCAGTGCCTCATTCTCTCAGCAGACAAGAACTTTGCTCCTTTGAGGACTCACTTAAATTTGTTACGAGCAGTAGTAAAAAAGGCCTCTATTATGATGAGAGCTGGTATAGCTGGAATTAGTGGTTCATGTATGCTACATTGGTCAAGCATGCTGGTGTGAACCATGGCCAGGATTGCGGTTTCACCTGTAATTTTCAAGAAGGGATGAATGCGTCCATGTCAGCTTTGACCTAAGAAGAAACCTCAGTGGTGCAATTTTCATTTGGGAGGTTGAAGATGTCAGTCCAAGGGACATCACAAAGAAAATCCCATTGCTGTTAATGGAAGGAAGTCTTATGGATATGGGTGGGGGTTCTTGTTTAATGGATGCTTGGAAGGAGATATCAATAGCTACCACAGAGTGGTCTAAGTTAGCATGAGGGCAGTTTTCCAAAATCTATGATTTGAGTGAGGGATTGGGCAATAGAAAAATTTAATGTCTGTATACAGGCAACATCAGTCCCTTTAGAATGTTTTGATGTGTCATAGTGAGCATTAAAGTCACTGAAGGCAAAGATGTCCACTGATTGATGGAGAGAAAGTGCCTTTTCTATGTTGTCAACTATTGCATCTAAAATGAATAAATCACATTCTTTTTGTGCAGCTAGATCATGATGTCATGCTAGACCATTCCAAATGACCAATTTCCTAAAGAATACCAGGATGTAGACAAAGTCTAACTACTACACAGACACCTCATTGGTTCTTGGTAATGACTGTGACAGTCAAAAGTATTTGAACAAAAATCACAAAATATGAAGTTTAGACAGTTTATCCACAACTTTGAGCGCAATACTCAATAACTTATCTGAAAACTGGAAAATATAGCAAAAACTTAAACAGACACACTTGTTTAGATATGTATATATCATTATAGCATATATGTCTTAGTTTGAGTTTTTGCTTATCAACTTTATTAATCAAAAAATAAAGTACAAAAATATTTGATTCATTTTATATGTTCAAGATTATTTTCAATAAATTTTGCCACTTATCATGAAATACATCAATACCTTTGCAGTAAAACTCCACAAATTTTGATGTGAAAAAGTTTTCAACAAACACTTGAATCTGGTTTTTGTTTGGTTTAAGACCCAAACTTCTAGGTTCTTGCTTATAGAGTTTGGTTCAAATAAAGTTTATAAAGTTTTGGTTCATGGATATGGTGGCAGAGTAATTGTGAGTTCAATCCCTGGACCAAGTAGATTGATTGATTGATTTGTTATTTTTTTTTTATAGCTTACCAACCCTTTGCGTGTTATTTAAATCCAAAATCATATTTTGAACTGTAAAAATATATTTTTTTTTTTTGCAAGTGAATATTGCTTAACACTTTTTAAAAAAATAGCAATGTTTTTTTTCTTATACACGTCATACTGTTTAACCCATAGCTGGGGTAGGAGATGAATTCATATCCTTCCCAAGGGTATCTGCACATAATTGAATATAACGAACCCAACTGGAATTTAAACTCAGCCATCTGATTTCTCCTTCCGAGCTGCTATTGATTACACCACCCATGCATCCATAGGTCAATTAGTGCATACTTAATGGTAACAGGGAAAATAAATAATTGAGCAGTACCTAAAAATAATCAAGATGAGAAGTCCTCAGACATGGACCATGGAATAAGAACAATCATACATTAAATAAAGGGTTGAGTTTGTAATTCCATGACAGTTATCTGGATCAACAAAAAAAGGTCAAGAAAGAACAATGGCCAAAACATTCTGATAATAACAATGAAGATGAGAACATTAGTCTAAATGTAAATTTTTTAATGCCATAGTTCACCCAATACAAGGCCCAAGGTAGAGAGTTACTGAATGAGATTGTTGTAAGAGTGTAAAGGGAAGAATTAGAAGTTCATATTAAGAGGATATGTAGTATAAATAATGATTGTAGTTTGACTTGAAGAGGTTAAGATTGTAGTGACCAAGGAAGCATCCTCACAGTAGTCTCTTCCATAAAGTAACAGTTCTGGGGAGGTAGCTGTCTGAGTGGAACTTTCTCCTCAGCAATTGAATGTGAGGATGAGTTGACCCTGTGTAAGTGGCATAGTGGGTCTTATCTGTGAAAGTTTGAACTAGTGGAACTAACAAATGTAGCTTGTCTGAACATTTGCAATGGAAATATTCACTGGCTAGCAAAAGGCTAGCAGTGTTTCATCTATGCGAAAGAGGTTGCAAAACAGTAAAATAATTTCTCACCCACAAGGCCATGTAATTGATTTTCAATTCTTTACAGGCTGATCAGTGAAGACTGAGTAATGATAACTCTTCATCCAAGAAATTAAGACAAAATTGATGTTTACAAGTTGTATTTCATAAACGTTTTACATTGTTTCAAATAAACTGATTGCAATAAGAAATAAGAAGAATATATGCAACCAATTTTTTAGCATGGACTGTACTCCTTCTTTCATATGTTCATGTTCTTTAAGGATATGGGCCACCATGGCTCTCCATAACTTGCTGTCTTTTGTTGCTCTAAGTAACTTTAGGCTCTTTATCACCCTTTGTTCTTGTTCTGTTATCCATTAACTCAAAATTACCAAGGAAAATAGTGAGACCTAGTTGCCAATCTAGTAGCAAACTTCAAGTCATGTAGTCAGGGCATCAAAGAAAATAGCTCATCAGAACAGTTGCTATGAAAATATTTGTAGAAATGACAGAGGGATGCCAGGGTCACATTGGTGAGGAAGCAATTCCTGATCAGGATCAGTTATATTACAGACCTTTCTTTGAATTTTGTCAAAAATCCTGAGATGTACAGCAAGATTACCAGGCCAGATATACCAACAGTATTCAATTCATGGATGAATGGTAGATTTATAAACATGCAGGATGGATTCTGACAAGAAAGATTTTCTGGTGCATGAACCAAATTTCCTTGCAGTAGACATATTAATTGATTCGATGTAGCTGCTCTACTTAATGTCAGTGGAAAACATGAGGCCAAGAAGGTGTAGTCTTGCTCTCCTGGATTTCAGCATCAGTCATGCTTATGTCAGCCAGAAAAGGTTCCCTGAGGTAGTTAATGTTACTTTTGTTGTTACAAAAAATTTTCAGCCAATCTATTTTACAAAATTCTTCAAAGAGAAGAATTTCTTTTTTTTCAAAAAAATTGTTTGGGTTGCTTGAATTTACCCTCATTGTTATTTAATGATGAAATCATTATTTTGTATTCGTCAAATATGAGTATGTAAGCAGTTAATACAAGAATAGTTATATATTGGTTATTTATATTTGAGTTTGTAAGCATTTACTTAGTTCAGGGATATGTCAATATTGTCTGTAAGCATCGACTTAATAGGTGGCCCCTTTTAAGGAAGGTCATAACCTTTTGCATGGTATACAGTTGGCATGGAAAAGATTTGGAAAACACAAAAATGATGGCTTATATAATGACTGGTTGTGCTCATTACCAGCAATGTGATCCACATACAAAAGAAAACCATTCTCAGCAAGCTGTGTAACACAGATGATTCCATATTTATAGACAGTGATGCTCTACAATTTTGTCCTTGCTGAACAAAGAAATCCATTCTGGCCAGACTTATTTTGTTCAACAGGTTAACACCTACTGCTTCTTTGAATTTATTCTCTCTTCAGTATTGTTTTCTATTTATTATTTTTACTTATTCATAGACAGAGTCTGCCTCCCTTTTGAATATGGTGTTTTTATATTCTTTAAGTTAAAATTTAAAGAAACACCTGGTTTCTCTTTTATCTTCTTTGACACCTTAGCATTGACTATTAGAAATAAAACCTTTTGTCACATTTTTCTACTGTAAGGAACCAACTCTAGTAAGGAGGTTGTGAAAAGCAGTTGTGCTACTGAAAACCACACTGATATTGTAATGTCCACAAATCATGGTGGGCTTACAACCACATCACGTTGAAAGACCAGTTCCCTTATGATCACTGAAGTTAAGTAACATTGAGCCTGGTCAGTACCAAGATGGGTGACTGTGAATACCGGGTGCTTTAAGCTTAGATGTGCAGATGATGTAATAGATAATGACTCAATTGTTCATCGAAATTCCGAGTTCCAATTCCCATTAGGTTCGTTATATTCACTTACATGCAAATACCCTTAAGAAAGGTATGAATCCACTTCTTCTTCTTCTAACTATGGGTTAATTAGTAAGACTTGTATCATTAAAACCATTATTATCTAAAACAAAAATCTTACAAACTAAAAATCTTTTCTGGCTTTAAATAACCTGCAAATGGTTGATAAACCATAGAAAATAGATCAATCAATAAAAACAAAAAAACAAGTCATGGAATGTATATATCTCTTTTCAGAAAATCGCATCGGAGGTAAACGAAAATGTTTATGCAATTAGAATTTAGAATTAAATTTGACCTAAGAGACAGTACTCAAGAGAAGAGTATTTTTTCATTAAGACCTCTCATACAAAAAAATTAACAACCAGAATAATTTTTAACTCCAAAATGAAATGCTGACAAAGGCTGATGAATATATATATCAAAACAATAAAAAAACAAATATGCAGTTTTAGACTATTTACATTATTCGGACTATTGTCGTCTTTGTTGCCATATTTATCACAATGTTTTGGCTGTTGTATGCTCCGGCCTTCTTCAGGTGATTGGAATGTTGAACTGAACCCTTTATTTCACTCGCTGGGGTAGACTGTTCTAATTCCACGTGCCATATCTACTATGGATGTCAGTTATCAGTTATCTCTCGATACTTTACCCCTCTCCAAGTTCTCCACTGCTTTAACCAGGTATTGAACTCACACTTTTTGGGTCCTGTCACTGGATCTAAATAATGCCTTTATCCATTGTGTCATGTGTCCTTGAGTAATAGGACTCAAAGAGTGTGAGTTCAATACCTGGTTAAGGCAGTGGAGAGGGGTGAAGTAACAGGAGATATCTGACATCCATTAGACATGGCACGTGGAACTAGAACAGCCTACCCAAGCGAGCGAAATAAAGGGTTCAGTTCGACATTCCAACCACCTGAAGAATTACATGCAATTACATTCCAAACCAATAATATTTGAGTTTGGACACATTGATGTGATGCAATGGTTAGCAAGCTTGTCTTGCTAGGTCAATTATGACTGAATAGTGAGTTTAATTCTCACTGGGTGCCTTATACTTTCGACTTGGTGCCACATAAGCTATGCTTAGAAAATCCCCATACTGGAAAGAACAATAACAGTTACTGGACTTGAGAAATCTATTTTCCTGAACAACTGTTTTAAGAGAAAGATTTTTATGAATTTCAACCTACAGTAACATTTGAGGCTCAGTCAATGAATACTGAATGTTTCCTTATAAGGAAATGGCTAATATTACCATTACCATTATGATCAGTGAAGAGAAGGTGCCAATTTTGGGTCAGTCTGAGAGCACTGGGCTGAGGCCATACTAGGACCAATATTATAATGATACTGCATCTTAAAAATCAACAGATTTTTGATGTTAGACTGTAATTCCTAAAGGAGTGAGTTGAGTGAGTGGGAAGGAAGGAAAGAAGGAGACACCTGGGAAGCCAATTCCTGATATTGGTTTATTTTTGGGAAGCCAGCCAAAATGAATATCTTCCTTTATTGAGGGGAATCAGATGAGATAGATGTTGCTGATAAGTTGTTATAAGACGGCTGTATTTGAAGCAATATGGATATGACTTGGAATCAAATAGATGTTGGGTTTGTTTGATTTTATTCTTGGGTCAAACTTGGTAAGCTTAAATGCGCTCACTTACAGCAGGTTTTGGGAAAATTCTCTGCTGGTGGTATCCGTTCTCATGTCTTGTTCTAAGATTTTTTTTAAAAACTTTTGGGCAAGTTAGCATCAGTCCACCTTAACTTGGGAGACTAGAGATTGCTCAGAGGTACAAACCATTCCTTTAAACATTCCATATAAAATTATTTTAATGGTTGTTCACTTCATATACAAATGTTGTTTGCTCAATTTGATAACATAATTACTTTTAATCTGACTAGGCTTCTCACAAGGGTTTTTGGAAGCTACATAAATTTTCATTTGAATGACAACAGAACAGATTTTAAGTCTATTTTTGAAAGTTTCCTTACTTAAACTGTCAATGTAAGCAGTTCATTATAATTTTCATTTGAATTTCCAAGATGAAAAATATGATACAGGGATCTCTTTAGACTCATCTTGGTTGTTATTGTCACAATGTTTTGGTTATTTACAAGATAAGGCATCTTACTTATTATAAAACGCAGATTGTGTGTGTGTGTGTGTGTCTGTACGTTTATATATTGGATCAGATTTCCTACATTTTTCAACCGATTTCAACAAAACTTCACAGGACTGCTTAGAATTACCTTGCGGTGGTTCTGACAGCGCCAAAAATCGAAAAATACAATTGTTTTTGCACGAAATCAATTTGAAAACACGTTAAAACACGATCCTGTTGCCAGAATGAAAGGGGGACAACTCATATCGAGTTATACTTATTATAAAACCCAGGTTGTGTGTGTGTGTGTGTTCGTTTATATATGGGATTGGATTTCCTACATTTTTCAACCGATTTCAACAAAACTTCACTTTTTTTTTTGGCAGGTAGTGTTTCTTATTGTCTTGCTCACTTTTTTCTTTATTTTTACATTCAGAATGCTTTAAAAATTCCATTTACAAGACAATTGTTTATAATAAAATTCTATTCAATCAGTAGACTTATAACGATTGAAAACAATGCTTTTGTTTGAGTTTGGTTTTGACTAATTCGTAAAAAAATACAAAACAAAAAAACTAATTAAGACATGTGTGTCTGTCAACCTTACACAATAATCTTTGTCAATTTTATTTTTCAGTCTTTATGATGGTTGATACTTGATCTATCTTTTATTGTTACATCCCCGGGCAATGCCAGGCTCTGCTACTAGTCATTATTATACAATGATCTATACAGATGAGTGTTCTCATCTTGGTTGTTATAGTAACAATGATTTGGTTATTTTCGCTGATGAGGAATTATCATTGTTATATGCTGAACTATTTGTTTGTTATAGTCACAATGTTTTTACTATTGTCATTCTTTAAATTCCTTCAGATGTTTATTTGTTATCTTCTGAGAAAAAAAGGTAGTAAAACCTTACCCACAAATTGAACACCTGGCTACTAAGTGATGTCATCCATTTAACCAACCTTTTTATCCGTAAGGCTATTTGGCCTTTGATCAAATCTACAAAGAAAAGGATATTCATTCAAATAATTCTTGAAATAAAATCCTTTTTGGTAGAACTTGTAGAAAATACTCTTTTCATATGGCCTTCTTTCAGATAAACAATATGACTTTTCTAGGTCAACAAGCAATGTGTTAATAGTTATTACTAAATTTATCTGTCAGGCTTTAGATAAGAACTATGAGGCTTGGACTATGACTTCAGATATCTTAAAGGCATTTGACAGGACTTGGTATACTGGTCTTCTTCACAAGCTCAATGGCAATGGTGTCTCTGGCCAAACATTTGACAATCTAATCTTTATAAACAAATCCTGTTGAACTGGCCACTCTTCTAGAACCTTTCATATTAATGCATGTGTGTGTGGGGGATCCTAGGTCTCTATCCTTGAACCTATGTTGTTTCTTACCTTCATCAACAACCTTCCTGATGTCATCAGTTGCTAACACTGGTATTTATGCTGTTGTCACAACTATTTACTCTTATTGTAATAGTTGGAGCAAGAAATGGCTTGTAAATTGAACACTCTCTTTTAGTCATCATAGAGAACTATTTTTGCCTTCCATCAGCATTGCTGATGCTAACCTCCAAGGAGAGCAACTCATTGTGCCTTCTTGCTTTCATGTATTCCACTGACATGAAGTGGAGTTTATATTGAATCAACTGCGAGGTCTGTTGCTAGGAAAGTTGGTTCACTGTGTTGTGCCAGATGATTTTTCTTGCTAGAATCCATTTTGTACATTTATAAATCTATTATTTGTGCATGCATTGAAAATTGCTACCATATCTGGTCTTGTAGTCCTGCTCTATATCTTGTGATTCTCGATAAAATCCAAAGAACGGTCTAATATTATTGGTCCTGTCCTGGTATCACAAATTTAGTCACTTTCTTACCACCATGACACAGCTTCTCTCTCTCCGTGTCTTTTCTACAAATATTTTGTATAAGAATTGTTCTAATGAGCTTTCCTCCTTGATACTTCATTTTTTATAATAGTCCCTTTTCTTGCGTGTGAAACTCTCCTCCAGTTTCTTGCTTTCCTACCAACTATAATCTTCAAAAATTTAAATATAATTTCAGTCACCATCTTTTGCCTTCCTGAATGCTGTTCTTTTATTGTCCTTTCATCACATTGACATCTTCTTATATTTTTTTTCACTCTCAGTAACCCCTTGTGTTTTAGTGGCATAATTGTCTTACCAGGGGTGAAATGATAAAACAAATGATAAGGACACATAGCAGAGTGGATAAAGGTGTTAGTTAGATGTAGTGACAGGACTCAAAGAGTGTGAGTTCAATACCTGGTTAAGGCAGTGGAGAACTTGGAGAGGGGAATTAACAGGAGATAACTGATAACTGACATCCATTAAACATGGCACGTGGAACTAGAACAGTCTACCTCAGTGAGTGAAATAAAGGGTTCAGTTCGACATTACAACCACCTGAAGAAGGCCGAAGCATACAACGGCTGAAACATTGTAATAAATATGGCAACAAAAATGAGGACAATAGTTCGAATAATGTAAATACAGTACATAATACCTCATCTCAGAAATATAGACAGATACTGAAATGATAAGAGTATATGATCTGTAAATGGATTAAATTCCTCAAGTTAAGAATACAATTTCAAATAGAATAATAACAATCCTTTATAGCATAACTTTTTGAAAAATACGAGAATGACAAGAGAGCATATGATCTGAAATGGAATCAAATCCCCAGATATGTATACAATTTCAGATAGTTCATGGAATAAGGACAATCATTTATAGGAGAACTTTTATAAAATACTAGAATGAAAACAGAAAACAAAATGATATTATGAGGTGTAATAAAATCAACAAATATTATGATACTCAGCCAAATAATTCCTGGTGTAATGTTATTGTTGTACAGACGAATAAAAACATGAGACTAAATCTCTCATGTAAAATTATTATCTGTTCATCTCTGAAGTTTGTCACTTAATATTGGCAAATCAGTGTGTGGTTTTGAGGTTTTCTCTCTATGTGGATTCTTCTTCATGCAAAGATGCGTGAGACTCTTCTCTTTTCCCCTCTCAGCTGGTTATATAACTCTTCCTATCATTGATTATATGAATCTTCCTAAGTGCAGTTAGGTTAAACACCTGTTTACATGTTGAAAGCAGCCACTGACATCCTGAGTAGTGCAGAGATGCATTTTGTGGCTAGGAGGTCATCTATCAGGCCAACCCACTGATGCACCTGGCTTCTCTGATGGTCTGGTGTGGCATTTAATGCTAAGTCTATAATGGCATCCTCTGAAGTAAGTCATATACTACACCAGAATAAATCTGCAATTCTTTACATTACAACTTCAGGCAACATGATGATGTTTGGTAGGTGCCTAGTTTATATTTGTACTACACCCTGAGTTACAAGTAGCTGAATTGTCTTGAGTTTGCTAAATCTGTTTAAATGATCATTCTTCAAAAGTTTTGCCTAAAAGCAGAAATTTATTTGATTAATTTTATCAATTTCAAGAGTTTATTGGAAAATGCTTAAGTGATTGAAATTTATTTTAAGATTATTTTAAATGATATCAGAGATTTTTTTCTGTTATTTTTTTCAATTTTAATTTGATGTTTTATAACACAGTACATCATTAAATGCTGAGTTTCCAAGAAATTTACTGTGTATAAAGAATGAAGCCAGTCATTCTGGGAAAAGTTTTAAAAATTGATGACAGGATTCATTAGCCAAAATCTTGAATGTAAATCTGGAATTTCCAATAAGTGTTCCAGTTTAATATTAATAGGGAGAAAATATCTTTTAGAACTATTAGTTTTTTAATGGCTCCATTTGGTTTTTAATATCTATCTATCTATCTATCTATCTATCTATCTATCTATCTATCTATCTATCTAATTCTCTTCCTGTCTATCTCATTCTCGCCTTATCTATCTATCTCATTCTCGCCTTATCTATCTATCTCATTCTCTCCTTATCTATCTCATTCTTTCCTTTATCTATCTGTCTATATATATATATATATATATATATATATATATATATATATATATATATATATATATATATATATATATATATATATATCATTCTCTCCTTACCTATCTCATTCTGTTCCTTCCTGTCTATCTCATTCTGTTTCTTTTTATCTATCTATCTACATTAGATGTGACAAACAAATATATATTTATTATTAGTTTCAATTTTACCACTTTTATACTATATAGAGTGCCGTTTTATTACTCCCAACACTATCTATCTTTGGTAGATAGATTCTATCTATATATCACTCTCAAGAGATTAATCTACCTTAGGTAGATAGGATCTATCTATCTATCTATCTATCTATCAATCTTTCATCTATCTATCTCATTCTCTCCTATCTATCTATCTATCTATCTATCTATCTATCTATCTATCTATCTATCTAATTCTCTCCATATCTATCTATCTAGCTACCTAGCTCATTCTCTCCCTATTTATCTATTTCATTCTGTTCCTTTCTATCTGCACGAAATGTGATGAACAAATATATATTTATTATTAGTTTAAACTTTACCTCTTTTATTTTATATTTAGCACTGTTTATTACCCCCAGCACTCACTGTGTTATATATATATATATATATATATATATATATATATATATATATATATATAATTATATATATATAATTTTACATGTATTTTTTAATGCAAAATTATTTATTATTACTATGAAAGATTATTTATTTTTATCTATAAACATCTTTCACTTATTAATGATATCCTGTGGCCTAATTGGTAGGGATCACTTCAGCCAACGTTGTGGTTTCCCTGATGGCAAAAGGAAATACAAGTTCAATTCCTGTTGGGAAATATATTTTTCATTAGCATGAACTTCTCAATTTCTAGAATGGTCGACATTAATTTCCCTGGATAAAAACAACATGGATGTTAATGCATATACCCACAAAAATAATGTTTATAGTAATAAGAAATGAATTTGTATAAGTTTTACATATATATATATATATATATATATATATATATATATATATATATATGAAAATATATAGAAAATAGGAAAGAACTCGTTGGGTAAATAATCCAAAGTTCTTTAATATTTTTGTTATTATTTTTAAAAAATAGTGCTCAATACAAAAGTAGAGCATAAATATAATTATTTATTTAAAAATATGATTCCAACGTGCTACATAAGAGTTCTCATGTTTTGAAACATGTCTGTATTATTGTATCGGTTATTAGCTAAATGTAGCTAATAACCGATACAATGATACAGACATAAGGAAAACCCAGACAACCCTTGTCCAGTTGAAGTAGATTTATCTGTAACCATGGAAACGTGATTTTAGCTGTGTCTTTAAAACCCAGTAATTTTAAAAGTTACTCCAAAATTCGCTTGAGGATGAAATGGAACTAATGTCTTTAATTTAATTGCAAAATTAAATTCATGGCTTTTAAGCTTCCATTTTTGAAACATGGTTAGAACTCTGTAGCAGAAAAAAAACATATTTTAAATCAATTAATTTATAATATTAATGCTCTGTAAATTTACATTGAGCACTATTTTGTAAAAATAAAAATATCTATAAGAACACCGGTTTATATATCTTACTGTTCTTTCTTTATATATATATATATATATATATATATATATATATTGTGTCTGTGACACAATTCCCTACACAGATTTCAGTTAATTTTTTTTTTTACATTTGACTGTTTTTTGTCACTATTTCTTTAATTGATGTGACTATTTTGTAATGCCTTTGACTGCAATTAAATGAAGGGTACTTTTTGATAAAGAGATTAATATTCTGATTCAAAGGTTTCTATTTTCATGCCTTTTTTCTTTTTTTTTTACTGACCTGTGGAATGACTTTCAGATGTGTAGTTAGTGTAATGGTTAGCATCTAAGAAAGAGACATTAGAGAACCATGTTTGAATTCTGCCTGAGTCCAATTTCACACAAATACCTGTGGGAAAGACATGAATCCATCTTTTCCCCCTGACCTCAAGCTATGAGTATTTATCCATGCTGCCATTTGCATACAATATGACACAAGTGGGATTTAGTAGAGTAGAAAAATTTCTCCAGTCCCATCAGCATTTCTCTTATTGGGAATGCTTCCAGTGTCAGATAATGATCCCAAACTTCTCCTTCAGGAGAAGTAATTCATGAGTGGTGGCTCCCTAAGGTTTGGGACTGATTTTCATTTGAACCCTGACTCTTGGCTGCCAACCAGTCTGGGAGAAGGACAATGCTGAATTCAAAATCATATATAGCCCTGACAAAGTTCATACTATACAGCCACTGAAAAAATTATGGAATTCACAATTAACTATAAGGCAAAAGTTGTAACTTTATGATTTTGACTCACATGGAATAAAAGGAAAGAAGACTTTCACTGCTTGATCCAAATATTGAACACATGTCCAACAAGTAACTACACATACTTAATTAATACTTATTTAATACCTTTCCCTGCCAGGATATGTGCCTGTGATCAAATCAGCAATGATAATGATTTCTTGTTCACCACATCATACCTAATAATTTTGCCATACAGAGTGGTTATAGAATTTTCAACGCCCCTAAATAACATTTCAAAACTGAACAGCATCTACAAAATATAAAGAAAGATTATAATTATGACCATTTATTTTGTTTTGATTGCGGACAAAAAAAAAAATGCAACAACGTTAAACAAAAAAAAAAAAAAATGGAGAAACTTATTTAAAAATAATTTGAAAAAGCTTGTTTAATAAATAATAATTTTTTAGGATAAAATGCTATTACATAAACAATATAAGCACTATGAAAAGAATTCGCTAAGACTAACTGACTCATATTCTAACCATGCTTATGGAAACATAACGTTGAAACACAGATTCCCATACGATCACCATAGTTAAACAATGTTGAGCCTGGTCAGTACCTAGATGGTGACCATTTGGAAATGCCAGGTACTGTAAGCTTGGGTGTGTGATTAGTGTAAAATGGATAATGACTCAGAATTGTTCATTGAAAAGCTGAGTTCCAATTCTCATTGAGTTCATTATATTCACTTACATGCAAATACCCTTAAGAAAAGTATGAATCTACATGTATCAGTAAAACCATTATTATCTCAAAAAAAACTTCTTAAAATCTAAAAATTTTTTCTGGCTTTAAATAACCTGCAAAGAGTTGATAAGCTGTAAAAAACAAATTGTAACCCCCTAAAAACCCTAAAAATATGGGTCTAGTGTATTCTTCTTCTTCTATGTGCCTTCTTCCTTCTGGCATGGCTGATCATGGCTCTCCATAACATCCTATCCTTTGTAAAATAATGTTAGTCTCTTTACTATCCATCTCAGTCCCTGTTTCGCCATCCATTTACACATACCAAACAGCTTACCCATGAATACGAAAGGATCCAATAGAAAATAAGTAGACAAAATGTCCAAATTATTCAACGAAACATGTCTCAATGAAAACATGCTGCCAAAATATATACACATATATATATATATATATATATATATATATATATATAATTTTTTGTCTGGATAAATTTATACTATTTATATCCTCGGTCTGATGAGACTTACTGGTTGAAATAAATCATGATTTATTAATGTATATTTGTGATGTGTTAAGCTTTTCCTTAATGTATATGTATATGTATATATACATATATATATATATATATATATATATATATATATATATATAGATAGATAGATAGATAGATAGATGATCATTCATTTCCCCACAAGCAAAACATTAATAACACAAAGATGGAATTGGTTACTGAGAATGAAAGAAAATGTAAAAAATGTTAGTGAGGAGAAAGACAATAAATGAACAGGATTCAAGGAGAAAGAAGATGCCAATTGATATTGCATTTAAATTTTTATGATCATAGGTGACAGGGAATCAAGAAGCCAGAAGAGTGTTCCACAGGTGACGAGTATGACAGAATAGCATATATATATATATATATATATATATATATATATATATATATATATACATACACTAACACATCTTTCATTAATGACAACAGACAAGGTACTGTGATTGAGCTTTTTATTTAATTTTTTTGTGTTCGAACAAGTGTTTTCTTTTCTGGACACAGAGTGTGTAGAAACTGTCCAAATATTCTGTCATTCGAAGCACTTTTGGCTATACTTTTAGCCATTATCAATGATGATTTTATTTTTATTTTTTAACTGGATGTATGAATTGTGTGTATGTTTCTAAAGTTATAGGGATGTTTTATTTTGTTAACACAGCACATTGTAGCTATGTTCATAGTTAATATTAAACTGGAGATGAAAAGTTTTTCTATACACCCTCAATGCATTAGAATTGCAAACACAATAAGAGTAAAATTGCAAATTTCATTTTTATTCTCTGTGATAATGTCACAAATGTTTCAAAATATGAATTTAGTGATAGAAATATTGGTCAGTCTCTGTATGTGCCTCTGTGTGTTTTACTACAGCAGTTTTGCTTACTGTACATGAATTCAAGTTCATCCCAAGTGGGTCTTTCTGTTACTCTCTCTCTCTCTCTATATATATATATATATATATATATATATATATATATATTTATATTGACTCTCTACTGCCAAAATATATATAGTTCTTTTATCTTTCATCTGCTCACCTTAATTAGCCACTCACATTACAGATGCCAAGCACACATGGCCTGACACCCTAAAAAGACAAACCCCATGGTTTATCTTGTAATATCTACATTGCCTTGAAATATGATTTTGAGTAAACACATTATTTTACAGGGAACTTTTTATGACAAGATCAGATATCTGTGAAATGGCAAGGTTTAATAACTGGTTCCTTGAAAATGTCAACAGTTTCGTTTTTAAAGAAGACATGGCTGCAATTTTCAATTCCAATTATCTCTCTTTATCTGTGCATCTTATCATTTATCAAATAGTCTTTTTAACAAATCTCTCCATCTTGACAGTGAATATATTGGGTATAGAAACCCCTGCGAGAAAATTGCCATATCTTTTTATGACAATACCCACATATTTATATACGCATGTCCAATCTGTGTACATGTTTTTTTCACATCTGTTGGATTCTCCCATGCATTTCATATATATCTATCTATCTATCTCTCTATGTTTAGGTTGATTGATTTTATTACATGTCAATTCTTGATCGGTTATTTAATGTATCAAATTTTGTATGGGGCACCCAGTGTGGATAAAATCATTACTCAGATGTAATGGGAAGCCAGATTAGAATTGATAACTATTACAGGAAAAGGATTTTAGTATAAAAAATTATTGGAAATGATTTTAACATATAATCACATTGCAAATGATTTTACTATGAAAATGTATCACAGAAAATTTATTATGAAAATGCATTGGAAATGATTTTACTAAGAAAATGCATTGGAAATGATTTTACTATAAAAATACATTGTCTTAAATGATTTTACAATGAAAAGGCATGAGAAAGGCACTGTTAATGAATTTACTATGAAAGTACATTGCAAATAAATTTACTATAAAACACATTGCAAATGATTTTACTATGAAAATGTATTGCAAATACCCTTACTATGAAAATGCATTGCAAATACCCTTACTATGAAAATGCATTAAAAATGATAAAATACATTGGAAATAATTTTACTATAAAATCATATTGGATGTGATTTAGATTGGTTTGGTTGATTTTTCAACATACCAACACTTGATGGGATATTTAATGTTGAATTTTGTATGAGGCACCCAATAAGGTTCAAACTCACCACTTAGTACTGATGGTCAGCCAGACTAGATTTGCTAACCATTCTCCTACATTCAGGTGCCCTATGTACAGCTGCTTTCTCAATTCTATTATCATTGCTTGATACTGCACCATTCCATAATTTCACAAGTGCACAGCAAGAATGTAACTTTTTAACTCTGTGCCTCTTGCATTTAATATGTCTTTTGAGTGTAAAATTCTCTAAGCCCGCTTTCCTCATCATGCATTTCAAAAATTTTAACTGTCTCTTTCTGATTGTAAATATAAGTCTTCTTTTTCCCATTGTCTTTAAAACTTTGCTCATATGTTCCATCCAGGATATCTCAGCATTATTACTATAAACACTTTTCTGGGAATACGTGTTTGAGTTGACATCCCTGTTTTTATTTTCTTAACCAGTAAAAATAAAAACAACAGACCTAGATTAGAAAGTCCTAAAGAAAAATATGCCACTTGACAGGAATTGAACCTATATCTCATTAGTGAAACTACTCCTATACTCAAAGTGTGCTGTTATCAATTTGGTAACAGGAAGCTGTCATGATAAAACAAGACTCAATTTTTTCATTGAGATCCTTCAAAGCTCTAACTACTAACTAACTGTATCTATTCTTCTGTGGAATTTCATCTCTGTTGTTTAAAGTCTCCTCTTCATTTTTGAGGAAACATCCCAGTATTCAACTCCATAGAGGAGGATTGTTATTATATAGCAATTCAGTACATGTATCTTTGTTTCCCTCAGCCTCTCAATATGTCTTGTGAATGTTAAATTCTCCAACCACCCACTTCTTTGTTATATGTACCAGAAATTTCAGCTATCTCTTTCTGATTGTAAGTATGAATGACTTTTTTGTCCACATTTTCCTTAAAACCTTTTACAGTAGTTTTTGAATTTTTTACTTTCATATAATTTTTTTATTCATTGATATTTTTTTTTTTACTATTGTTCACCCAATACAAGACCTAAGTGCCACTCAAGGTAGAGTTTTACAATGGAGATGTTGTAAGGGTGTATAGGGAAGGAGCAAATGTTGCATATTATGAGGGATATATAGGATAGATAATGGTTAATACTCAACTTGAAGAGGTGAAGATTGTACTAATCAGGGAAGCATCCCCTCAGGAGTTTGTTCCACATTGCAATAATTCTGGGAAAGAAGCTAATTGGAACTTACTCCTTACCAGTGAAAGAGAAGGAGGATGAACTAAGTCAGTGTACATGGCATGGCAGGTCCTAGATGTAAAGGTTTGAACTAGTGGAACCAAGGAATGTAGTTTGCTAGAATATCTGCTATGGAAATAGTGAGAGAGGAGCAAAACACTAGCAGCATCATGTCTTTGGGAAAAAGTTTGTAGGGTAGAAAAGTATTCATCACCCACAAGGCTGCATAAACATATTTTAACTTGGTCATGGCTAGAAAGTGAGAATTGGCCACCTCCAGCCCAAATATGACAGCAATACATCATTTTTTGTTTTGATTTGATTCTTGTAGAGATGGAGCTTGGTATGAGGAGCCAGGTACTTTCTCGAATGGTGTAGGAGAGTTAGTCATTTTTACAGTGTCTTTATATATCATAAATATTTTTGCAGTGCCTTTATGCATCATATATATGATTCCACTTGAGGTGTGGTTTGAGCTTGACTCCCAATAGATATTCAAGGCAAGAAGCCTCATTGAAACTACAACTGTTCTTTATACTTTATTGGTCAATGTATTGTCATTTATTTTTAGTTTCAAAATTCAAGGCAAACTCAACAGAGGCTCAATTGAGAAATATTTTATTTATTTTGGAAAATCATCAATAGAAACAATATTCTTCTCCCTCCACCCCCGATAACAGAATGGCTAACTATTCTGCTTTAAGCGTATAGATTTTAGAGTGCGTAGATAATTAGTTGTCTTTTTAATTACTACCCGTCTCTCGAGACAATCTTTGCGTTCATTAGTCGTTATGCAAATTGGAGTCTCTGTCAGAGCTGTTGAGAAACAATTGCTATCAATTAAAAAAAAATACAGAATATTATTTTTATTTTTAGATTTTTTTTTAAAAGGTTTTCTTCTTACTCTTATTTTGTTTTTGTTTTCTTTGTTGTGGCAGACATCATCATTTAATCTTCAGGTTGGCTGTGTGTTTGTGGAAGAATTTTAGCTGAGAATAGAAGTAAAATAAATGAAGAGGATAGAACTGGAAATA